CACGAACTAAACACAGGCTCCAACTCCCTAGCGGGCTTAGAAGAAATTTTGGGAAGAAAGGCTGGAACGGTAGTGGTGGCCGACCATGTGGGAATGGTAAGGCTGTGTTTAGTTTGCGAAATAAAAATTTTTAAATGTCATATCGGATGTTTCGGGGATATCGGAAGGGGTTTTTGGATATTAATAAAAAAAAACTAATTACATAGCTCGTCTGGAAACCACGAGATGAATTTATTAAGCCTAATTAATTCATCATTAGCGCATGTTAGTTATTGTAGCACTTATGGCTAATCATGGACTAATTAGTCTTAAAACATTTATCTCGTGATTTCCAACCAAACTGTGTAATTAATTTTTTTTCGTTTATATTTAATACTCCATGCATGTGCCGCAAGATTCGATGTGATAGTTTGGGGTGAAAATTTTTTAGAACTAAACCAGGGGCCGGTTTAGATACAAAAATTTTGGCAAAATGAGTACTGTAGCGTTTTCGTTGTTATTTGGCAATTAATGTCCAATCATAGTCTAATTAGGCTTAAAAGATTCGTCTCGTGGATTTCGTCTAAACTGTGTAATTAGTTTTATTTTTTATTTATATTTAATGCTTCATACATGCGTCCAAAGATTCGATGTGACTGAGAAATCTTGAAAAATTTGACGTTTTGGGAGGAAACTAAACAGGGCACATGTCTAATGCGAGGGTGTGACGATGATTCCTAACGAAGCTAGGTTAGCACTGGGATGCATAGTGGTCTAGAGGAGGCGGATCTAGGTATCTGGCAGCAGGGTGATGCCAGGGACGAGGCAGACAGATATGGCAAGGGTGTCGTGCGAAGAGGCACAGCCGCCATGAATGAGCAGATGGAGAGAGAAAAAAAAAAAAAAAAAAGGCAAACACAACCAGAAATTTCTAATCCTCCCAGCGAGTGGACTTCTCCTGCTGTTTTAGCACTCAATATTTAGTATAAACTTTTCAGGATTTTCTAGTGCTATGATTAGTGATAGTATTTTAATACTACTTAAAACACTAAAAGAATTCCACAATTTTAATAGTGAAAGATCAAAAAAAAGATGGAACATTGGATCTTATCCAACGTTTAAAAAAGCCGAGTACCTATTTCTGTCTGAGACATCATGTGGTTTTGTTGGCTCCAATGAGCTCAGTTAAGGTTGTTATTAGGCCAGTCTAGGCTCGTAAGATCCCTTTGTTTGGTTGCTTGTATTTAGCCATCCTAATTGAACAGATACAATGTTTAGTTGTCTCATAAAAATATGTCGCATGAGATAAAATATGTTTGACAAAATTTGCTATATGTTTTAGTAATCTTAATTTTTCTTATTAAACCTTAATTAGCACTTGAATGCACTAATGTCATTTAATATAATATATACTAATTATGCAATCACGTTGTTAGCTGAGCATCTTCAAGAATACCTAATATTTTCTTTTCAAAAACATAGAGTTTTATAACTTAAAAAAGTATTAGAAGGAATAAAAGAGCCAATCTCTAAGAGTTACTAATAATCCACTCCTAAAATATAGAAGACAATTTTACATCAGGAATTCTATACTATTTCTAAACTATCCTAACCACTTTTATATATTCTTTCTCTCTTGTACATTTACGTCAGGAACACTTTCTACTCTTTATTCTTTCCACGCCCTTCCACCTTTAGATTGGCCGACAAAAACATGCGAGGAGAGAAGATACGTGCGACTCAAAAAGCGCGTAACTTTACACGGAACTGATTGACTTTTTCTAAGTTCTAAAAGATTAGCATGATGGATTAGGAGTAGGTGGAGAGATTTTTTTTCTATCTTGCTAAAAAATAAGGATTATAAAGGGATTTAGGAAGTTTTTAGTGAGCCAGGCCCGTAGAAAACAAAAATAAAACTCGTTTTCTAGGAGCCAAACTGAGGAAGCTTTTTGCATCCCGTAGAACAGGCTTAATAGACTGGCTCCAACAGGTGATCTATACGGGCACTCAAACTCAAAATGGGTAGTAGAAGATCCAAAATCAGTCTTCAATAGAGTACCTATACGAAAGACCTATTTTGGGTTGTCTGAAAGGCACAACCTAAATACGAGTATCCTCTCTCCTGAAAACTCATTTACAGAAAGAATTCTCTTTTGGGTCCTGTTATTGGAGAGGATGCCGAATGGGTATTGAACTCTTTAACTGTAGCGCTACCCAAACGTTGAATGAGTCCTGTATTTTAGGTGTTGTTGTTGAAGATAGTCTTACGTATGCATACCGACACATTCACCCCATCTCATGGATGGAAAAATCAAGTACTATATCTTAAAGCTATGAGTTGCATGAACAGACAATCATCATGTCCATATCCTAAAGCCTAGCCAGCATATAAGTCCGTTTTGCTTGGTGCTCGTATTTGGCCATCCTGACGTAGACACAATGTGTAGTTTTTGACCTGTGAAAATATGTCGCATGAGACAAAATGTGTAAGACAAAATTTTCTTTCATATTTATTGTATACAAACATTTTTTAGTAGTCTTAATTTTTCTTATTAAATCTTAATTAGCTCTTAAATGCACTAATGTCATATAATATAATATATACTAAATTAAGCAATATAATCACGTTGTTAGCTGGGAACCACCTCATATCCAGCAAGCCAGGGCCATATAAAACAAAAATAAAACTCGTTTTCGAGGAGCCAAGCTAAGGAAGCTTTTTCATCCCAGCCAGGCTGAGGGAGCTTTTTAATTTGCATCCCGTAGAACATGCTCAGGGCTTTATCAAAACAACTGAAAACTGAATTCCGTCAGCCTCGGTCATCAGCCTCAGCCAAGCGGGCCCTAGAGTTGTTTGAGATAGAAAACAAATGCTGTTAAGAGCAAAGTTTTAAATAGCGCGCTATAGCAGACGCTATAGCGCTATTTAGCGGATCTGGAAGACCAACGCTAAGCTACCAGGATTTTAACGCTAAACGATTTTTTCCGCTATTAGCTGCTAATAGCGCGCTAATTCCACTAAATTGTGGTTCATTTAGCGCCGCTATTTGGCCTGGGCTTTCATTTCCATCGGCCCAATTAACTTTGAACTCACGTATGTCCCTATGTGATGTATGATGTATCATTTATGAACTACGAACTTTGATGTAATGTGTTAGTAAGACTTTGAACTATCTGTCCCTATTGGTATTTGTGATGTTTTCATCTTCTATATCTTTATTATGTGTAAAATTACATGATGTGTGACATATTTTTTGCTCAGCCGCTAAATGGCTTAGCCCGCTATTTAGCTCGCTATAGCCTTTCTTAGCCTTTTGGAGAGGCTGCCGCTAAGAGGCTTAGCCCGCTATTTAAAACATTGGTTAAGAGCTACAAGACGGCAGCGGTCAGAGTCAAGAGAGCTGCACCGCACCACACCACAAAGCAAAGACGCCGCAATCCGCAGGCGCGCCCGCAACAATGGAGGAATCCGGCGCCTGGCCCCTACTGCTCCTATCACTTGCAGCCTCACTCCTCTTCTTGCTCTACCGCCGCACCCATGGCGGCCGCAAGAACTCAACGCCAACGCCCCGCAGTGATCGAGTAGGTGACGCGCTTGCTCTCCCGCCCGCCGATTAGCATGCTGGATTCTTCCTGGCCAAGTTCCTGCCGCTCCGCGGTCCGTCTTCGACACCGGCCGCTCCTCCGGAGCGCAGGCACAGCAGCACGGCCCCGTCATCTCCTCCGCCTCCTCTTCGCCACGCGACGTCTTAAATCGCCGATCGCCGCTAGACGCGCCGCCGCCTGTCTATACGGCGCCACCTCAAAATGGACCGCCCACCGCCGTCGACCCGAGAAGCTCTTTAGCGCCGCGGCGCATCACATCAACACCTCCACGTATGGCCCAGTCTTCTCCGCCTCGTCCGGCGTTTATCGCCACGGAGGCGCTGCACTGCGTTATGGGCGGAGCTAGAATCTTGCAGCAGGTATTCCATGTAGAAAAAGTTATTACGATGTTTGCGCGACGCTGTCGAGCACCCACGCGTACCCACACCCACACCGCATCAAGAGGAAAAAAAAGTACCATGCCTAGGGTTACGGCGGCGGAGAAGACGGTTGGGTGGGGCCGACGACGCCTAGCGTCGTCCGTTTTGCAAAGCTCGTCGGCCATCTACCTTGGGATTAGGTGGGCGGGGACCTATGGTATGTCGCATGAGGTGAAGACGAGGAGACAAAATTTTCACCCCTGTGGTTAGTAGATGGCGGGGTGGAGTGGCTTAATTTTTCTTAGGTGGGGGCGGGTTAGCTCTTAAATGCACTAATGTCATATAATGGCGCCTAGAGAGGAGGCGAGGTGAGGTTGAAAGGGGCGTCCTCAGAGAGAAGCAAGCCAGCGCCATATAAAAGGAAGACGGTCACGTTTTAACTCGAGCCCATACAAGTGCTAGCTTTCTCCCACAATACAAATATGCTAGTGCTAACACACTTCTTTTTCATGTGCATTACAATTTACAAACAGAATGTAAAAAGAAAAAAATAAAATTATTTTTAGAATTTCATCACGATACTAAACAAAGTAGCACCCAATAGCATGAACAAATAAATTTGATTAGATTGCAGCAAACACATAGACATATAGTGCTTCACTCTAAATTTCATCAATTAAGATTGTGAATTGTGATCCATTCTAAATTAGAGGAGATGCGCTGCTCGTCTGCTTGCTGCTGCTGGCCACCGGCCGCTACCGCCTCAGGGCAGCACCGTAGTCCGCAGCAGCATCCGCTCTTCGGGATGCAGATGCAACGCCACTCAGGCCACTGCCGCCGCTAGCTTGGGACACAGTACGCGAGGTGCTAAACAAGCAGCGAAGGGAGCAACGCTGGCCGCTATAGGTCTGTTTCTTGTGGCCTTGTGGGCTGATCATCCGTGGGCTTTTGGTCCAATTAGACAGTGGAATGTACATGTATACTATGTATATTTATTTTTCCTTACCAAAATCTTGGGTATTCCATGGCATACAGGGAATACCCCTGGCGCCGCCCATGCGTGGCCGCGTCAGCCTCTTCGAGCCGGCCAGGAGGTCGGCGTGCGACGCCCTCGTCACCAGCCTCCGCGCGCACGCCGGCGCCGCCGCCGCCGACACGGTCACGCTGAGGCCGTTCCTGCGGCGCGCCATGTTCGAGCTGCTGGCGTGCATGTGCTTCGGCGCGCGGCTGGGCAAGGAGGCGATCGACGAGATGGAGGAGCTGCAGCACCGCATGATCCTGTCCTACACCACCTTCCCCGTCTTCGCCTTCTTCCCGGCGGTCACCAAGAGGCTGTTCCGCAAGCGGTGGGCGGCGTACGTCGACCTGGCGCGGAGGCTGGACGAGGTGTTCGTTCCGCTGATCCACCCCACGCGTGGCACCGGCGGCGGTGGCAACGACGACGACCCGCCGTGCTACGCGGAATCGCTCCGCGCGCTTCGCGTGGCCGAGGAAGGCGACCGGCCGCTCACTGACGCCGAGATGTCGAGCCTGTGCTCCGAGTTCCTGACCGGCGGCACGGACACGACGGTGACGTTGGTGGAGTGGATCATGGCGGAGCTGGTGAACCGGCCCGACGTCCAAGCCAAGGTGCACGACGAGGTGAAGAACGCACCGGACGGCGACCTCCAGCAGGCGATGCCGTACCTCAAGGCCGTCGTGCTGGAGGGCCTGAGGCTGCACCCGCCGGGCCACTTCGTTCTGCCGCACAGCGTGCGGACCGACGCGGAGATCGGCGGCTACACCGTGCCTATGGGCGCTGAGGTGAACTTCCTGGTCGCGGAAATGGGGCGTGACGAGGCCGTGTGGACGGCGGCGCGCGAGTTCCGTCCGGATAGGTTCGTGGACGGCGGCGAGGGGCGCGACGTCGACATCACGGGGACCAAGGAGATCAAGATGATGCCTTTCGGCGCCGGCCGGCGCATGTGTCCCGGGTACGCGCTGGGCATGCACCACGCCGAGTACTTCGTGGCCAGGTTGGTGCGGGACCTTGAGTGGCTGCCGCCATCGGCGGATGGCGAGGTCGTCGACATGGCGGAGCAGATGGAGTTCACCACCGTCATGAAACACCCACTCCGAGCTCGCATCGTGCCAAGGAACTGATCGAACACTTGAAGATCGGAACTGGAGGAAGCAATTAGACTGTGCTTTGTCAGACTTTCTTTTTAATCTTGGACAGTGGAGGATTAATGAACAAATATGCTTTTCTACTATGTGGCAGGTTGATATGTTACATTCTCTTCTTCTTCTATTGTTTATGTTGAGACATGCATACTCATTTTTCCTTATTTAAAATGGTATTTTATAGAATTTTTATCATTCCTTTGTTGGTGGTTTTGATTTTAGTGTGAAAAAATATTGCTATTGCTTCAGTCTTTATGTACTCTGCTTTCTGAAAAGTTGCGATGGGGTTTAGAAGATTACAAATTGGATTTCCCATCCAATCGAGTGATACTCATCACAAACATGCTAGGGGGAAAAACATAATACTTGATCCATAGTCATATAAGTAAGCACAATCAATTGGGCAACTTTCGGAAACAAATGCATTTTTCCCAAATCTTGTGACAGTTGATCTACTTCTCGAGGCATCCGCGCAATTCATATTGTTAAGATTAATAATTTTGTGATCAATAAGTTAATTAGATAGTTAATCCCATCATTAGCAACTGCTAATGACGGTTCCTATAGAGGCACCTTTTAGATCCCGTAGACATCTTTTGGCCAACAGTCAACTGTCCTTTGGCTTGTAATATATACACCTTTTCTAGATCCCGTCAGAGACATCTTTTCGGCCAACCACTAACGCGAATAGGAAAAGGGAAAGGAGAGAGTTCGCCAGTCCTTCCTAAGGTGTAATATATACATGTACACGATGGTCATCATTCCATCACCGACGTCAATAGAATGCCAGCCGCCCATGGCCACCACGCCGAGGCCTTCGCGCTTCATGTGCGGGGCACCATCCGTCGTGCCCTCCGGGACATCTCCGACCACCGCATCCCACCTTGCCGCTTCCACGGAGTCCGCACTAGCGGTGGCCGTCCGTCGCTCGCCGTGCCCCAACCCCCAGCGTCCCCAACCATGTTCGTGGCGCGTGAAGCGCCCGAGATGTGGTCGCCACCAGCTTTTCGCCCATGGAACGGCGTGGCTCCATGGCCCGGCGTGACGCGTCCCTCCCTCCCCACCGCCACCTCCACCAATCCGACCACGCTCCTACGCCGACGTGGTGGCCAACCGCCGCCATGTCCTGCTCTGGAACGCCCTCTCGCTCAGAAACACCCTCGGAGCCGGGTTCATCTCCTCCTCGGATGAGGAGGGGCGGTTCCCCGCCTCTAAGTTGCTTGGGAAGGGCCGGTGGGGGTGGATCCGCCATTCCCGGTTTGCAGCGATGGCCTCTGTGGCCGGAGCTCGCCAGAAATGGCCGGGTTCTTCCCCACCAGCCGGCCTCCATGGTCGATGCATGGGCCTCGGCAAGCGCCCGCCATGAGAGGAGGAAGAGGAGGCACAAGACGGTGGCTTCACTCATGCAGGCGGCAGGAACAGCAGCGGCGGCAGCGGCGGTGGCTGGCATGGCAGCGGCGGTTGCAAGCGACGGTGGCGGTTGACGACTAGGCGTTAGGTTTCAAACCCTAACCGTCGGCCTTAAGTAGCCGATGCCTGCAGCGCTGGCTGGGCTGAATCTTGCAGCCAAAGGCCCAAGTTATGGCTTTGGCTGCCTGCAAGGCTGCATGCTTTGGTCGGCTCATTTGGTCACAGCGCTTAGTTGGCTTAGGCTGGGCAGCTACTGTCACCGGCTAGCTAGGCCGCCCGCCCCGCCTGGGCCGACTTTTCCCTGTTTTGATGCCTATGAATTTTATTTCTTAGTTATTTTTCCTTTCAGCAGTATTACAATTAATTAGCATATGGTTTAGCTAATTTTATTTTCCTGCAAGAACACCAGTTATTTATATTATTTGATGTTGCTCCGTACCTGCTGTACATTGTCATTGTATATATATATGTGTGGTTTGGTTTTATTATATTACAATGCAATATGTGATTCTATTATATTTTGGAGTATGTTGGTGCACCCAAACCCAATTTTGCACCACATACATATTATACTTGTGACTTTGATTATTAAATTGGAATATGTTGGTGCACCCAAATCCCATGTTTTGCACCAACATATATGTTGCATTTGTAATTTTATATTAGAATTGGGTATGTTGGTGCTCCCAAAACCCTTTTGCACCACATACATGTTAAATTCGCTAGTGACTTAGATGCAATTTAACAAAGTTATCCACATAATTAGAAAACTTTAATTACTGTAGGTTTAAAATTGCAATATAAATATCTTGATTATTTTGGTTAATTAGCACATGGTAATGGAGTCTATGGCATTGGTTGCGTTTAATTTCTTATGAATTATCCTGCCTAGAGATCGTGCCATAGCAGTGATTAAAGCACCCGTCACTGAGAGGTCTACATCATGTTCCTTTGAGACTTGATGATTACCTATACTATGTTTTTCCCAAAATAATAGTTTTGGATTGTTATAAATGGTCTACATCCACGCGATGATTACCATTTTCATCATATTATTTTGCTATTACACTAGATGGTAGAGACCTAAGCAATGGCTGCGTTTAATTCACTTGTGAATTATTCTGCCCAGAGATTGTGCTTAGGTAGCAATATATTTGCCTACCATAAAGATCTACTCTTTGTCTTTGTCTTAGAGACTATATGTCTTGTGTATATTAAAATTTATGATGATTTGTTGTATGGTCTACACAATTTTGTGATTACCTACAACAACCCAAAACTATGATAAGATATAAACCTTAAAATATTGCACCTAGTATACAACATTACCATGTTGATTTTAATTTACCATAAGGTAAATTAATTAATCCATGGTTGTCCACGTAGGATCATGACCACTAAAGAGTTTAAGAAACTCGCGTTAAATGGCAGCAATTACCCTATATGGGCTTCTGATATCAAGATAGTGCTTGCATCTCGTAGTCTTTTGGCTACAATTCAGGAACCCCAAACTGGGTTGTCCTGCAAGATAAGCATACCTATACTGCTTTAGCTTGGCTACGGTTTTATATTTATAAGGACCTTAAATGTGAATACCTTATGATTAAAAATCCTCATGAATTATGGGTCGCTCTTAAGGAGCGATATGAACATCAAAAAGAACTTATTTGGCCTGAGGCCAATCATGAATGGAATCATTTACATCTCTAAGATTTTAAATCTGTAGCATACTACAACTACGTTGTTCATAGGATTTGTTCTAAGTTGAAGTTTTATGAGAAATAGCCAACGGATGCAGACAAGATAGAGAAAACACTCTCTACTATGCTTCCGTTTGATAGAGTATTGCAACAACAATACAGAGCTCATAATTACCAGCTTTATTTCCAGTTTATTCATACATTGACTCAGGCAGAAAAACATGATGAACTTCTTCTGAAGAATCATCATAAGCGCCCTATTGGTTTGGCGCATCTGCCTGAGGTTCACAATGTACAGAAAAATACTAGGAATAAGTTCAATGGATCTTTTTTAATGAACAAAACTAGTAAACGCAAACACAACAGGAGACAAAGGCCTAATTCAAACAAGAGGAAGAAGGACAATGTGAAATCCAAAAATGACAATAAGTGTCATAGATGTGGAGATTTTTCGCATTTTGCTAAGAATTACCATGCACCTAAGCATCTGGTTGCTTTGTACCAAAAGTCCTTAAAGGAGGTCAAGCCAGCAGGAGACACAAGATATGAGGCACACTTCAATCTTGCATCTGAAGCTGTCTCGAAAGAGGGTTGTTCCAATCAGACCCCAAAAGAACAAGTGAACAACAATTCTCTTAACATTGAAGATAACCTTCCATCGACGGACAACATGCTCCTAGACTTTGGTTCTGGAGACATGTTTGGAGATTTGGAGTAATCTCGGTTCAGCATTGATATCACATCTGATACATATGTTGTAATAGTTTAAATCATACAAACATATAGTTGTTTTGGGTTGTATTATTTAGTGTGCTTGAGAGTTGTACAAACTTCTTTATATTGTTGTTATGTTGTACCAACTCATTGATATTGTAATATCATACTCTTGTACTTGATATTCAATATATTGTATGTATAATTCTATATGTTACATTTGAGTATTTTAATTACATTTGTTTTACATATAGATGTCCGTTGATCTCAATCCAAAGGAGGAAGAATTATGCCTTGTGGACTCATGCACCACAAACTCTATACTTAGAGAGATGAAATATTTCCAGACTCTTAAGAAAAGAGAAGGAAATATTATGACCATCGTTGGTCGCGATGCGTTAATAGGTGGTTTAGGAAGAGCCACTATTACTCTCCCTATGGGTACACAAATTACAATAGAGGATGGCTTGTTGTATCCCGACTCGACTCGTACCCTTCTAAGTTTTAGAGACGTCCGTAAGCATGGTTTTCATGTAGAAACACATATGGATAATAAAGAGAAATTTCTTCTCTTTACCAAACTTACTGGATATGGCAAACAAATCTACGAAAAGATTTCTTCACTCTAAACTGGATTGTACTTTAAATACATAAAACCCATAGAACATGTTGCTTATAAGATAATTTTCCAAGATGTCGATACATTCCAAAAATGGCATGATCGACTTGGGCACCCTGGAATAGGGATGATGAAGAAAATTATCGGCAATTCTATTGGTCATGATATGGAAAACGCAAAATTTCCCCAAAATAAAGATTTTTGTTGCACTGCTTGTGCAACTAGAAAATTAATTTTAAAACCATCATATCTTAAAATTCGAGTTGAACCACTCAAATTCCTTAAAAGAATTCAAGGAGATATTTGTGGTCCGATCCAACCATTGTCGGGGCCGTTCAGGTATTTCATGGTATTGATAGACGCATCTACTAGATGGTCTCACGTGTCTCTTTTATCGACATACAACCATGTTTTTGCCAAAATAATGGCCCAACTTATTAAGTTGAAGGCACATTATCCTGAACATCGGATTCAATCCATCCGAATGAACAATGCTACTGAATTCTTATCCCGTGCTTTCAATGATTACTGCATGG